GACTCATGACGTCGGTGTAGGTGCTGAAACAGAACAAGAAAGACCCCACCATGCCCATCACCTCCATGGCAACCATGTTATAGGTGAAGAAGTCAGAGTGACTCATCGTCACTGCCGTGGCAACAGAGCGCTGCTTCCTCCATCGCTGGTGAGCCACACACAGGATGAGGATGAAGAGCGGGAGCTGGAGGAGGAGGTTGGTGATAGAGTAGGCCGTCATGATAGGGACTGCCATTCTTTCTTTGAGGCAGACGTGGAGTGTAACATGGAGGGAGGAGTTGGAGGAGGAGAGGAGAGGAGGAGGAGGGAAGACACTGGAGGATGAAGAGGAGTTGAATGACATATCTGTTTGTCTGGAAGCCAAGAAGAAGAAGAAGAAGAAAAAGAATGATCAGTGTGAGATTCTAGAGCACATGCATGTGACTTGTCTTTGCAGCTGGTGACATCCAGCAGCTACAGAGCAACATGATGACTGATGAGGAGTCTCTGTGTCACCTGATGAACATCAGTCCAGTCTTCTTTCTCTTTTAGCTCAGTTTTGGTCTCCACCTGCTCCTGAAGGGAACAATCTGTCTCTTCAGTTGTTAAATGCTCTGCTGTGTTCACCAGCCTCAGTCTCTAATGACTCGTTTCTGCTGCTTGCATCGGCTTGACTCTACTTACTTTTGGTACCAGGTCCTATTTTCTATTTTGCTTTCCTCCACAGATAGTGCCTTAAAGTGTCGGCAGGATACTCAGCTGGTTGCCATAGTGATGCCACATGAACCTGCCGTGACATCATCTTTAATGTGACTCTTGCTGAATCTTTTCATCAGCAACCAAACAGAGGAACATCTGCGCCTCGTCCATTGTAGGGCACAGTGTGTGTAGTGTACAGAGTTGTGTACGGCATATTGTACGACATAGAGTGTGTTTACATGGACAGTTTAATTCCCTTTTCATTCGGAATGAAAGTTCATTCCTATTAAAAGTGATCTTGTAAACACCTAATTCGGAATGAAAATGGCCAATGTGATTGAAAATTCAATCCGATGTAAGGGGCTGGAATATTCTGATTCTAATTCTGAATGAAAGAATTTCAGCACTTGTATACACTCATTCCTCTTTAAGTTCATTCCAGTCTTTCTGCACATGCTCGTTTCCTTGCCCTTCTGGCATGATGAGTATATAGCGCGCATAGCAACGGGCTGAGATAGAGCAGTCGGACTTGTTGCACTCACCGGTTTCCATTCTCCACAGCACGGTCTTCTATCTCCCTTCTTCGACCTTCTACCTCCCTTCTCCTCCTCAACAGACGAAGCATTAGCAGAACAAGGTTGTTGTCGTACTGCTGCTTCAAGAATATCAGCAAAACAAGCCCGAAAAAGGCACTAAGAACGGCGTCGTCAAGCATCTTGTTATCCGGAGCGAGGACTATACAGTGTTTTCTTCTGGTAAACATAAACATGTAACCCCTGCCCCCTATCCAATCAGAAACCTTCCCTGCCCCAAATCTTGCGCAGACCTGAATAAAGGCGATTAAACTGATCTCCGTGTAAACCCTCATTCGGAATGAATATTTCTCATGTAAACTACCTGGAAAGACTTTAATTCCGAATGATTTCATTCAGATTTATTTCATTCTGAATGAGAAGCCATCATGTAACCGCACCCATAGTGTATGTAGTGTATGGCGTAGTGTGTATAGTGTACACAATTGTGTACAGTGTAGAGTAAGCCGTAGTGTATGGTGTAGTGTACGACATATTGTACGTAGTGTACGACATAATGTGAGTGGTGAAGAGTGTAGTGTACAAAGTAGTGTACAGCGTGATATAAGACGTTGTGTACGACACAGTGTATGTAGTGTATGGCGTAGTGTGTATAGTGTACACAAGTACAGCGTAGAGTAAGCCGTAGTGTACGACATATTGTACATAGTGTACGGCATTGTGTGCAGCATAGTGTGCGTAATGTAAAGCGTAGTGTAAGAAGTAGAGTACGATGTAGTGTACGACATAATGTGAGTGGTGAAGAGTGTAGTGTACAAGCTAGCATACAGCGTGATATAAGACGTCGTGTACGACAATGTGGATAGTAAACAGCGTAGTTTGCATCATGTACACTGTAGTGTACACTGTATTTTAAGACATAGTGTACGGCTTTCCTGTGTCGTGTTAGTTTTGATTTTAGTGATGTGTCTTTGACCAATCAGTGGTCTGCAGTGTTCTAACTCCACCCTCACCCAGAGCACAGCCGTGCTGTAGCACACAGTGGAAATGTGATGTAACTGTCTGCTGTTGGTTGCTGAAAACGATGCACAGGAGACATTTCTTTTTTACCTGATCGATATTAAGTTTCCACCAACAACATTTCCTGATGTTTTGTCACAGTAAACACTGACAGATAAAAGAAAGGCTGCAGGACTGATGACGTAAAGATTCTGGAGAGTTTATTTCACAGCGTCAGAGGAAAAAAGGCAAAGTGAACACCTGATGTGACTCTCACGATATACTAAATCTATCAAGACAACAGATAAACATGGAGGATGTGTTTGCAGGGTTTGTATTAAATGGGGAAGTAGAAGTAAATGCCACTGAGATGGATAAAGATTTATGATATTATAAATTAGTTAAAATGTTTTGGGGCTGCATGAACTATGACTCAGTTATAACTACAAATAACTAATTAAATGACACCAAATCAAAGCAAAGATGTTCGGTTATTTAGAGAAAGTATAATAACTTAAAGTAAAGTCTAATAAACTAAAGTTATTAAAACACACCAACCTCATCATCGTCAGTCCTGCTCGCTGCTCTGCTGTGAAGACATGACACATTAATACACGCCTGTTGAATGTGTCAGAGGGATGACTGTGGGCTGTTTTTGCATGAATGATTTACTGTGAAATCAAAGCAGGCACATTTTCTGTTTGCATTATTCTAATAGCAGAGTCATAGTCATTTGGCTTCTGTGTTTGGTTAATTTGTGTCTCCTGATTGTTTTGTGTTTGTGTTTTGTTTGTGGTCACGTTTGTGTGACTACACTAACCACACAGGACAGCAGAGTTCAAACACACATGCTTGCCGGGCTGCACTTCTCATCCCTACATGTGACTGTTTATACAGAGGTGTTTCAATCTTAATGTTTAGTGTAACCGAATGTGTCTGTGAAGTGCTGAGCCGTTGACTCGGTACATAAGACTTGGATTACAATTGTGTGAGAGTTTGTAAAAAGATGTAATGATATCATTGTATTGTTATTAAACACGCTCCCCAGTGACTTCACTTCATCAGTTATGTTCCATGTTGTTTTTGGGTTCTTGGTTCACAGTGGAGGCACGCTAGATAAACAATGTTTTCTTCAAAAATTCAATGTAACTTGCAGTGGGCATGGGCGCTTCATGAGACAATGGGCCCCTGGGCACAGACATGCAAAGGCCCCCATCACTTCTTCTACACAGGAGGAAGATACACAGACTTTGAAGTTGTTGTTTTTTTGTGTCTCTTTGTGGACATTTTGTGTCTCTTTGTGGTTGTTTTGTGTCTCTTAGGAGTAATTATATGTGTCTGTGGTTGTTCTATGTCTCTTTGTGGCCATTTTTTGTCTCTTTGTGGCCATTTTTTGTCTCTTTGTGGATATTTTGTCTCTCTTTGTGGTCGTTTTGTGTCTCTTTGTAGTCATTTTCTGTCTCTTTGTGGTCCGTTTGTGTGTCTTTATAGTTGTTTTGTGTCTCCTTGTGGACATTTTGTGTCTCTCTGTGGTTGTTTTGTGTCTCTTTGTGGACATTTTGTGTCTCTTTGTGGTTGTTTTGTGTCTCTTAGGAGTAATTATATGTGTCTGTGGTTGTTCTATGTCTCTTTGTGGTCGTTTTGTGTCTCTTTGTGGCCATTTTTTGTCTTTTTGTGGACATTTTGTGTCTCTGTGGCCATTTTTTGTCTCTTTGTGGACATTTTGTGTCTCTTTGTGGTCATTTTGTGTCTCTGTGGTCGTTTTGTGTCTCTTTGTGGTTGTTTTGCGTCTCTTTGTAGTCATTTTCTGTCTCTTTGTGGTCATTTTGTGTCTCTTTATAGTTGTTTTGTCTCTTTGTGGACCTTTTGTGTCTCTCTATGGTTGTTCTATGTCTCTTTGTGGTTGTTTTGTGTCTCTTTGTAGTCATTTTCTGTCTCGCTGTGGACCTTTTGTGTCTCTTTGTGGTTGTTTTGTGTGTCTTTGTGGTCATTTTGTGTTTCTTTGAGGTTGTTGTGTGTCATTTCTGGGTGAGGTATTGCTGCTGTTCCTCATCCTCACCTGTGTGGAGCTCTACCTGGCTGTCGTTCACCCTGTCACCTACCTGTGGTTGAGACAGATGGACAATCGCAAAGCACAGAGTGCGTTTGGTTGATGTGTTTTGGATCCTCATTACGACCTTGAGCAAACCACCTCCACACTAATCCTCTGCTTTCATCAGCCTCTCTGTTCTCTGCGCTCTGATTCGCTCTCAGCCAGAGGAAATGGGTGGGGGCAGGGTGCAGGCTGACCAATCAAAGCAGAGATCCACCCACACCTTTAGAGCCATGATGGGAGTGTGGTGGTGACTGTTGTTGACATTATGAGTCAGGTGATGTCTGTGCAGCAGGCTGATGTTGGTTCTGCTGTTTCAACACAGAGAAAACTACCAAACTGTCAACTGTAAGGATGAGGACAGATTCACAGCTATAAAATATTACTTTACGTATTTTTCACATATAATATAAATCATATTTTGGTATCTAAGAAAGCTTTTTATACGTGTATACGTACTGTATAAAACCACCTGTATGTGTATAAAGTAACCATAATAAGTAATCATAATTCAGTATGTATCCGGTCACTGTTTGTGTACTGACTAACAACTTACAGAATGTAAATGAATGAAGTGTTTGTGGACTGGAACAAACAAAAATCAAACCATTTAAAGACATTAATGTTGAAAGACTGAACTCACACCTGCTTCTCCTGTGGAACTACGATGCGAAAACAAAATTTGCCAGCTGCAATTTAGCGTGAAAAGTATCATAAAACCATGCATTGAATTTCCATCATGCAAAAAACCTGAAACTCAACACCCACACCCCCACATACACACCCCTACACACACACACACGCACCTTTATCACAGAAAAATATTGATATGTTTGGAGGAGACGCCAGCGAACAATCCAGAGAGTTTGTAGACGACGATCAGAAGGACAGGTGAATGATCTTTAATGTCAGATATTTCAATATTAATTCAGTTTTCAAAAGTAAAGCAAAACTAAATGGCAATTTAGAGACAATGATTTTATCTATTTTTTTGCCCTGATATGTCAAACAAGACTGGACTATCCAATCGCCCAGAGTCAGCAGACAAATTCATCATTTGATGTCAAACAGCTGAAAACTGAGCCTCCATCTCACTGTAAGTATGACACATGTCAGAGGAAAGATATTTTTCTAAGGCAGTAATTATTGTTATTATTAAAGGGTCAGCCTCATAATTCAACTATGCTCAAACTAAATATTTACTGGGAGCAAGGCCTCCCAAGGTTAGGGGAATCTCGTTGTTACCCACAGATCCCATTTGCATTTAGATATCTTCAAATGAGAGTTTCTAAAGGATCCATTTAAAAATGGCCACACCTGTTGTTTCCTTGCCAAAATTAAGCCTAAATTTGAAGCGCTATGCCAACTTGGTTGCTGCAAATGGATGTTATATGTTGTGTAGTTTCCCAAGATACCACTACTTTCACACTAGCTTAAAGGCAGTGTACCCTAGCATACATACTGTTTTGTCTTTACTTTCAAAAGTAATAAAAAACGTAACAAGTTAATGTAATATTATGTATGTTATATCACTGTCTGTTGTGACAGTTTTTATAAAGTGTTACTGAATGATAATTTTATGGTAATCTCATGCTAAATATCTGTCAGAATGTTGGCTAGCAAACATTCTGTGCATTAGTCGACACATTCACCATGGACGTATAAAGAGAACTGGGTGTAAGTGTTGGAGGCGGGGGCCCCATTCATTCCTATGAAACTTGTTCACTGACACACAAAGCCAAAAGAGCTTTATTTCTGCAGTGTGTAAGTACCCAAATCTTCAGTTTTGGGGGGCCTATAGACCCTTTACGTGTCGATGTTGCAATGACATCATGTTATCAGCTGGAGGTGCAGCTGCCTCTCCCCCACAGGGCTGTAGGCTCCATAGGAGTGTTAAAATGTGTTTGTCTATTCTGGCTTATTGGGAGCCAGAATAGAAGGAGTCATGGCTCAAAACCAGTCGCCACTGCCCGTCAACAAAAACAAAGACAACTATGGTTAAATGTGATAAGACCAAAGGACTGGACGGAGGCCATCATCAAAAATGCTCACATGTGCAGCGCACACTTCATATCAGGTTAGGGAAAAGTCACTCCGCTCGGCGCTCTGCTGCTCCGTCTCCACAGACAGAGTGTCCAGAGTGCGCTCTGCCACTCTGAGAGTGCGCTGCTCTGGATAACCCAACGCTTCATTCAGACAGCGCTCCCAATTTATCAACTCTCCAGTTTGTGTCAGAGTGCGCTCCCACACTCACAATGAGTGTTTCTGAACGCACCACTCACATCATCTTCCTCCATCATCTAAAACAAGACCACACAAATTGTTAGCTAGCGCTAGCTGATGTCTGTGGACAATTCAGCCGCCCACCAAAAAACATTCGCAAAAGGGCTCATAGAGCACACACACTGAGACTCCTGTTTAGCTCTCTGCTAACTTGAAAGGGGATAAAATGATTTAATGTTGCGGCTCTTCTAGACTTTCCAAATGTCATCCCTAATAGGTCAAATTCTGACAATGAAACAAGTCATAATACAAGGGTTACGACGCTCCAAAAAAAAAATGTATCCACTGATTTATAGACACCTCTTTCACAACGTAAGTCTTTGGAAAAAAAAAGTCTTTTTGGGCCACATGGCTTCACATGAAAGATCCAGGAGTTGTAATTCCACATTTGGCTGTTTTGTCAAATTGGCTTAAGAGAAAGCCCCTCAGAACAGCGTTGGGCTTCCAGGCTAATTTGACTTACATGGCGAAAGAGACGTCTGTATTATTCTGATCATATTTATTTAGCTGTTGAGTATCATCCGTCTGTCTCCACCTCTGCTCCTCTTTCTCAGGCCTCCCTGAAACAGACATGTCAGTCAACTCAACTCTTACCAGCAACACCATCCATCACCCATTCTTCCACTGCTCTGACGTCACTGTTAATTTCATCATCTCTGTTGCTTTCACCGTCACCAAATTCCTCCTTCTCCATCCTCTCTCCATCCTCGTCCTCTACCTGGGTCACCAGCAATGGCGGCGGCAGCGCTCCACCACCATGAGCCACTCTGACTTCTTCACCGTCCAGATGGCTGCCATGGAGCTGATCAGTGAGTCAGGATGGGTTCTCCTCTGTTGTGGCTCTTACGCAGATCGCCCAGTGATGTCAATCGTGGGTATCTATTTGTGTTTCATCATTTTCCCCGGACAGACTTTCTTTCACATCCTCACCTGTGTGGAGCAATACCTGGCTGTTGTTCACCCCGTCACCTACCTGGGGCTGAGACACTCAGCTGGGGTCAGGATCAGGAACATTAGCACTGGCTGTGTTTGGCTGCTGTGTTTTGGATGGATCGGTGTTACTGCTCTTTATGTGCCTGAGTTTCCAATCATTCCGTTTCTCGGCTTCTTGATTTTCTCCTTATTTGTTGTCTCTTTCTGTAGCCTCTCTGTTCTCCATGTTCTGATTCGTCCAGGGCCAGGGGAAGTGGGCGGGGACAGGGAGCAGGTTAACCAATCAAAGCAGAGGGCTTTCCATACCATCATGGCCATAATGGGAGTGTTGTGTCTGATGCTTGTAGGGATTCTAGTTTGTGTAGCTCTAGATGCTTCACCACTACTGAGCAACACTGATGGCTGTGTGGTCATGATATCTGCCATCTGGTTCAGCCTGCCCAGCAGTCTGGTGTTACCTCTGCTATTCCTCCACCGCGCAGGAAAACTACAGTGTGGTTCCAATGCTGACTAACTTAAAACATAAAACTGGTGATATCCTGTGTTTTAGTTATTCCCTCCCTCCCAGAGACCTTAAAGAAGGTGAGGTACTTCCTTCCTTGGGAACTCTTAAAAGGTGAGGTACCTCACTCCTACGAACCCTCAAGAGATGAGGTGCCTTTCTCCTGGAGAACCTCAAGGGGTGAGGTACCTTTCTCCTGGGGACCCTCAAGAGGTAAGGTTCTTTTCTCCTGGGGACCCTCAAGACGTGGGTTACCTTTCTCCTGGAGACCCTCATGAGATGAGGTACCTTTCTTCTGGGGACCCTCAAGAGATGAGGTACCTTTCTCCTGGGGACCCTCAAGAGGTGAGGTACCTTTCTCCTGCAGACCCTCATGAGATGAGGTACCTTTCTTCTGGGGACCCTCAAGAGATGAGGTACCTTTCTCCTGGGGACCCTCAAGAGGTGAGGTACCTCCTTCCTGGGGACCCTAAAGGGGGTGAGCTGCTTCCTTCCAGAGGACCCTGAAAAGGTGAGGGACCTCCCTTCTGGAGACCCCCAAAGAGTGAGGTACCTTGTTCCGGTGAATGACCAGTTCATGTACATTTTGAAAATTTATTCTTTAGGAGTTTAAAGTTTAACATTTTTAAGATGTTTATGTCAGTGTGCACAAATCAGTAACGCTGTAACAATGTGATTGTATTCAAATTAACAAATAAATATGATCATCTATTCTTCAACATCTTCTCAGTACTGCTCTCATATGTTCTTCTTCTTCTTCTTCATTTAATCCTTAGTCACAGATTATTGTTAACATTTATTTGGATAAGATGTTAAACAGCAGTGACTTTAGAGATACAAGAAGACGACGATCAGAAACAAACATAACAGACAGATTTGGTGATCAACTTTTACTAACTTCTTTGTATTCTTGAGTCCGCATGGACATTTGTCCAAAATTTGAGAAAATTTCCTTGAGGCCTTCTTGAGATACCTTGTGAGCAAAAATAAGATAGATGCAAAGTCACAGTGACCTTTGACCTTTGACCACCAAAATCTAAACAGTTTATCATTGAGTCCAAGTGGACATTTGTGCCAAATTTGAGGAAACTCTCTCAAGGACTTCTTGAAATATCACATAATGAGAATGAGATGGATGCATGGTCGTGGTGACCCTTGACTACCCAAATATAAGCAGTTCATCACTGAGTCCAAGTGGACCTTTGTGACAAATTTGAGGAAATTCCATGAAGGCCTTCTTGAGATATTGTGTTCATGCATTTATAAAAAGATAAATCACTTTTCTATAATACATCAATGATATTTCAATGGAATAAATTACTTATTGACTTATTCATACTTCAAAAACAGCATCAATAAGTGATTAACATAGGGGGGGATCAAAATAAAATAAATAAATAAAATAAAAATCAACCAGCCACCCTCCTCCCCTTACAAGTAATGAACATTCCCTTCACAAGTAAAGAACAGTCCCTAAAGTGCGGTGAGGTTTGTGGACCGTTACCTGCCACAAAGAGAGAAATGTGAACGGCTCGTTTCTCCTCTGACACGCCACATACTTGTGTGCCGCCAAGGCTCGGCTGTTCAGGTACTACTGGGCAGTCATGACGCCAACGAAAGAGGAAATTACTGGACCTGGAGTCGGACTTCTCTGTCGCCTGTAAGCCGTTATCTTGCGCAGCGGAGCCGCCGTAGGCTATTTGACCGCCGTATTCCTGTCTGTGACCCCCATTCAACCCATAACTGGCAAAATTCGCCTTTCGTTTTTGCTGCTGGTTGAAATCTGTACTCACACAGCGTGCTGAATGATTTATTTTGCTGGCACAAAACTATTTTTAGTCGCAAATGCGAGTAAAATGCTCGCACGTAGAGCTCTGTGGAAAACAAATCACTGCCGACAAGTAAAAAGAAATAAATACGAACTTTCACCGCTCAAAGATACTCACATGCCTGGAAAACAAACCACTACAGAAGCATATTGAGTGCCAGGTGGCCAGCACGCACCGTTATTGACCAGGGCGCCGCGTTATTGGACGGCGCATGGACACTCACCCTCTTGCGATTGGACTTTGAACTTATCCCACAGTAGTGGTACGTGAGGCAACGTAGTACTACGGTACTCCACCCTGCAACACTAGTGACATCAGCCAATACTGTATGTAGTTTTTAGATGTAAAAAGTTCTAGACCCATGCAAATTAGTTCCGGAACGCACCAGGGCCTTTTCTGAAAAGATCCTGGTATGCGTTCCAGTGCGTTCCGGGTCAAATTAAGCACTGGATAGATAGATAGATAGATAGATAGATATAGATACTTTATTAATCCCCGTAGGGAAATTGTCGTGTCCAGTGGCTAAGGCACATAAAAGAGTACAAGGCACATATAAGAGTACAAGAACAAGTAATATAAATATAAATATAAATATTAAAGTAAAACATAGAATTAAAATAAACTAGAAATAATCTACATGTAAACAGTGAACACTATCAGAAAGTACAAAGTGCAAAATGCAGGAGGGTGTGCAGATGTAGTGGGGAAATGAGCTATGTGCTCCCTCCCCCAACTGAGGCATTGAAGAGTCTGATGGCTGTCGGGATGAAGGACCTCCTGAACCTCTCAGTCCTGCACCGCAGTGACAGGAGACGGTGGCTGCAGCTGCTTTTCTGTCCAGCCAAGATGCAGTGCAGTGGATGATTATCACAGTCTAGTATGCCCTGCATCTTGCTCCTCAGGCATCTCTCTGTGATGGTGGCATCTCTCTGTGATGGTGACTCGTGACTCGTTTACCGAGTCCAGGCTCCTGCCCAGCACTGAGCCTGCTTTCCGGATGAGCTTATCTAGCCATTTCCTGTTTCTGTCCTTCAGGCTTCCTCCCCAGCAGACTACAACGTAGAGCAGAGAGCTCTCCACCAGTTTTTTATAAAACATGTACAGCATGTCACTGTACATGTTAAGGACCGCAGCCTGCGAAGGAAGTGAAGCCTACTCTGACCTTTCTTGAAGAGGGCATCAGAGTTGGTCAACCAGTCCAGCCTGTTGTCAAGGTGGATGCCCAGGTACCTGTATGACTCAACCACCTCAATGTCCACTCCCTCAATGCTGACCGGCAGGAGTGGAGTGGGCTTTGACCTACGGAGGTCTATGACCATCTCCTTGGTCTTGGAGGTGTTCATCACGAGGTGGTTCATGCCACTCCAGTGAGAGAAGGTCCGCACCAGCTCCCAGCATGGTCCTTGCTGGTGAATTAAAAATCAGCTGGTTGGTTACCAGGTTATGGGTGTTGGCCGATCAAAAGCAAAATGAACTGAGCCTGACATCCCACATCACATCCCTAATCACTCGAGCAAGTAAGCTAAAATTCACCAGCCAGCTGTAACTTAGCTACGCTGCATTGCTCCAGCGTTGGTTGCTTCATAACATTACCTAATAAAATCTACCACTAATTACACATTTAACAAAATGTCCCCCGGGATCTATATATATACAGTACAGGCCAAAAGTTTGGACACACCTTCTCATTCAATGCGTTTTCTTTATTTTCATGACTATTTACATTGTAGATTCTCACTGAAGGCATCAAAACTATGAATGAACACATGTGGAGTTATGTACTTAACAAAAAAAGGTGAAATAACTGAAAACATGTTTTATATTCTAGTTTCTTCAAAATAGCCACCCTTTGCTCTGATTACTGCTTTGCACACTCTTGGCATTCTCTCCATGAGCTTCAAGAGGTAGTCACCTGAAATGGTTTCCACTTCACAGGTGTGCCTTATCAGGGTTAATTAGTGGAATTTCTTGCTTTATCAATGGGGTTGGGACCATCAGTTGTGTTGTGCAGAAGTCAGGTTAATACACAGCCGACAGCCCTATTGGACAACTGTTAAAATTCATATTATGGCAAGAACCAATCAGCTAACTAAAGAAAAACGAGTGGCCATCATTACTTTAAGAAATGAAGGTCAGTCAGTCCGGAAAATTGCAAAAACTTTAAATGTGTCCCCAAGTGGAGTCGCAAAAACCATCAAGCGCTACAACGAAACTGGCACACATGAGGACCGACCCAGGAAAGGAAGACCAAGAGTCACCTCTGCTTCTGAGGATAAGTTCATCCGAGTCACCAGCCTCAGAAATCGCAAGTTAACAGCAGCTCAGATCAGAGACCAGATGAATGCCACACAGAGTTCTAGCAGCAGACCCATCTCTAGAACAACTGTTAAGAGGAGACTGCGCCAATCAGGCCTTCATGGTCAAATAGCTGCTAGGAAACCACTGCTAAGGAGAGGCAACAAGCAGAAGAGATTTGTTTGGGCCAAGAAACACAAGGAATGGACATTAGACCAGTGGAAATCTGTGCTTTGGTCTGATGAGTCCAAATTTGAGATCTTTGGTTCCAACCGCCGTGTCTTTGTGAGACGCAGAAAAGGTGAACGGATGGATTCCACATGCCTGGTTCCCACTGTGAAGCATGGAGGAGGAGGTGTGATGGTGTGGGGGTGTTTTGCTGGTGACACTGTTGGGGATTTATTCAAAATTGAAGGCACACTGAACCAGCATGGCTACCACAGCATCCTGCAGCGACATGCCATCCCATCCGGTTTGCGTTTAGTTGGACGATCATTTATTTTTCAACAGGACAATGACCCCAAACACACCTCCAGGCTGTGTAAGGGCTATTTGACCAAGAAGGAGAGTGATGGAGTGCTGCGGCAGATGACCTGGCCTCCACAGTCACCGGACCTGAACCCAATCGAGATGGTTTGGGGTGAGCTGGACCGCAGAGTGAAGGCAAAGGGGCCAACAAGTGCTAAACACCTCTGGGAACTCCTTCAAGACTGTTGGAAAACCATTTCAGGTGACTACCTCTTGAAGCTCATGGAGAGAATGCCAAGAGTGTGCAAAGCAGTAATCAGAGCAAAGGGTGGCTGTTTTGAAGAAACTAGAATATAAAATATGTTTTCAGTTATTTCACCTTTTTTTGTTAAGTACATAACTCCACATGTGTTCATTCATAGTTTTGATGCCTTCAGTGAGAATCTACAATGTAAATAGTCATGAAAATAAAGAAAACGCATTGAATGAGAAGGTGTGTCCAAACTTTTGGCCTGTACTGTAAATAATCTCTAATCATCAGACTGTAACCTGTGACAGGCTGTTATGAGACATTTGTCCCTTAGGTTTACATCACCAAAGCTTTCTGACAGAATCACTGTGCTGCTGCCAGAGGAGCCGCTGAATGAGTTCCCTCTGAGTGGACGCCACAGTTTATTCCACACTACTGAAGCTCCTCCTCTTTTTGGAACCACCGCGAAGTCAATCATTATTTCATTTTCACCCATGCTTGTTGCTGCCGCGCGTAACAGTATGACGCCAGTCAGTACATTTACATGCACAGTTTAATTCCACTTTTAATCAGAATGAAAGGCCATTCCGATTAAAAGTGGTCATGTAAACGGTCATTCCGATTGAAAATTAAATCCGATTAAAGGGGGTGGTTTATTCCGTTTGTCATTCCGAATGAAAGAATTTTGTGTGCATGTATACACTCATTCCTCTTTAAGTTCATTCCGGTCTTTCTGTGCATGCTCATTTCCTTGCCCTTCTGGCGCGATGACATATATAGCCCACATAGCAACGGGCTGCATAGCAACGGGCTGAGATAGAGCAGTCGGACTCGTTGCACTCACCGGTTTCCATTCTCCACAGCACGGTCTTCTATCTCCCTTCTTCGACCTTCTACCTCCCTTCTCCTCCTCAACAGACGAAGCATTAGCAGAACAAGGTTGTTGTCGTACTGCTGCTTCAAGAATATAAGCAAAACACGCCTGAAAAAGGCACTAAGAACGGCGTCGTCAAGCATCTTGTTATCCGGAGCGAGGACAACAGTGTTTTCTTCCAGTAATGTAAACACGTAACATCCGCCCCGCCCCCTATCCAATCAAAAACCTTCCCTGCCCCAAACCTTGCACAGACCTGAATAAAGGCGATTGAACTGATCTCCGTGTAAACCCTTGTTCAGAATGAATATTTCCCATGTAAACTACCTGGAAAGACTTTAATTCCGAATGATTTCATTCAGATTTATTTCATTCTGAATGAGAAGCCATCATGTAACCGTAGCCAGTATGTCAACAAGTCCAAATATTGCGAGTATCAGAATATGAGTTTCACATATCATACTGAAAAATATACCAATATTATCATGAACGAGATGATATGACGCAGCCCTAAACTTATTCGCCGTGCGGCCACCTCCCCTCATTTTCCATCCGTCTCTCACATGCGCTCTGTCTCTCTCTCTCTCCCCTTGGTTGCCCCAGTTGCCCTGTCACTTTCTCTCTCTCAGTCACAACCCTTGTCATTTGAGCATGAGAACTGCCAGTTTCATAGACAAAGAAAATGTAAAATTGGTGAGAACCCAACCTGATTCAAGCCTGGGGAAAAAATGAGAAATTACAACCCAGCCCGATCCGGCCAGTCGCACACAGTCTGGCTCAGGTAGAGAATCAGAGCTCTATATGACGGTCAGTCATAGTCAGTCTGGTGTTTGTCACAGTTTTGACCGATGTCCAGGTGCTCGCGCGCACATACTGTGGTTCACTTAATGGTCTCAGACAGAGGGGTCACTAATAATAAGGATTTTCTGAAAGTTACATATAGAACCTTTAAGTGTGATGTTTATTGTCACAGTAGAACAGCTGGGATTCAAATCTTTGTTTCAAGTGGTCAATAATAACTACTGTGTTTGATTCAATTACATGCAGTATCACAGAAGTATTCTAACATTTGATTAGTTTGTATAAAGTGTAAATATCACTCTTACTTGAAACATCAAATTGTAGCCTCTTCAACTGAAAAGAAAATACTTTTATCTCAGCTCTGTGTCACCACCTGCTGGTCAAACACAGGCACTACAACTACTGATAGAACTGCTGTACTCTGAAGTTTCTTTAGAGATATGTAGCCATTTAATACTGCCAGTAATAAAAATAATAGCAACAATATTAATAATGTCTGTCTTCCAGCTAGGCCCTATGTCAGACTTCACTCTGTGACGCCCCCTGGTGGTAAACATCCAACCATGTTTGTCTGCAGCGTCTTTGACTTCTATTCCAAGTACATCAGAGTGAGCTGGCTCAGAGACGGAAAGGAAGTCACCTCTGATGTCACTTCCACTGATGAGCTGGCAGACGCTGATTGGTACTACCAGATCCACTCTCACCTGGAGTACACGCCCAGGTGAGTGCACTTCCAGGTCCAGGTTCAGTTAGGCTCAGGACCAGTTAGATCCAGGCCCAAGTAGGCGTAGGACCAGTTAGATTCAGGGACAGTCAGGGTCAGGCCCAGGTTCAGTTAGGCACAGAACAACTTAGGTCCAGGCCCAGGTAGGCGTAGGACCACTTAGGTTCAGGGACAGTAAGGGACAGGTCCAGTTAGGTCCAGGTTCAGTTAGTCTCAGGACCAGTTAGGTCCAGGCCCAGGTAAGTTCAGGACCAGTTTGGCCCAGGTTCAGTTAGGCTCAGGACCAGTTGAGTCTAGGCCCAGGTAGGCTCAGGACCCGTTAGGTCCATGCCCAGGTAGTCGTAGGACCAGTAAGGTTCAGGCCCAATTAGGTCCAGGCCCAGTTTATTAGAACCACTAATGTGTTGTTCTGTATTAGCAGGTCTGGAAAGAAGATCTCCTGTGTGGTGGAACATGCCAGCCTGAGAGAACCTCTGGTTACTGACTGGGGTAAATACTCGTCCGCCTGTACACTTCACCTGTCTAACCCTGCTAAAATTTCGTATATCAGTCAGGTCCATTATCTGGCTTAATATCAAACCGGTTTGAAAATTTTTACACTGGCCCAACCCTGCTGACATCACAAACATTAATGTATCCTCATACAATGGTTCGTACGATATCCTAGGAATTAGCACCCCTTGAACGACTTAATATCCCTAACGTAAAGTTATGTAATTAACAGAAAGTTATGGAGGTTAGGTTCAGGAAACGAAACATGGTGATGACCGCCTTAGAATGACTCAAAGTTCACATGGTTCGGGAAACGTCTCCTGGGGGAATGTCCTGTGTTTTTCAACCCGTCCACCACCCCTACCTGCCTCCTTAACAGGCCACTCGGGACTGCTTCTTTCCTTACTCCCATCAGCGCATTGGTCACATGATTGCATTACTTTTTGTAGGAAACTATATGAACAGCGCATGAGAACAGCCTGCTAGCAAAGATTGAGCTGGATGAGCTGAAACGGCAGCAGCTAGCAGTGTTAGCGGTGCTAATGGTGCGAACTATGGAAACATTGCTACCTATTTTTCACCTTATGTTGGAAACAGTTGAGCCAAAATCGAAGCACCGCTCACTAGCCTGAGCAAACATTCTCATTTTACAGCTAAACACTACACTGAAATATGTTTCTGAAAACATTTTGAGGTGAGAAACAGACATGCAATAACACCGTTTTTATTTGATCAGTGCTGCCGAGTGTGACAGTTTAACTGCAGCTCACCAGCAGTGACTGACATGATTGACAGGTCTGCTAGAGAGATGCTCGGTTCTGATCGGTTGTTTTCGTTTAGACACAGTAGATTCCAACAAATTCCAATAGAAACACTACGAGTTGGCAGAGGAACTGTCTCATTTAGTGCTGTGTGAATATAGTGACTGTTTCAGCAAATATTACAAAAAGTTATTTTTTGTAAAATTTACCAGCTGTTGTTTTAATGTTCTCATTGATAGAACCTTTAACCCTGCGTTCAGGTCATAAGGTCACTTATTTAAATTTTGCTTGTTAGATTTGTATACTTGTACACTGGAGTGAAGTATTTTACCTTAAATAAACCACCTGAGGACTCTCTGGCAGACTGTGTAGTGTCTTTGAAAATGTGAATGTTTTATTATGCTATACAGTCCGTCTATAAAGCACCTGTTGCCTGAGTGGTTCCCTACACCCTCAGGGGTGAGGCAGGGTGACGCTTTATCCCCAACTCTATTTGCTGTTTTTATCAATGAGTGTGTTTACATGGACAGTTTAATTCCCTTTTCATTCGGAATGAACGTTCATTCCTATTAAAAGTGATCTTGTAAACACCTAATTCAGAATGAAAATGGCCAATGTGATTGAAAATTCAATCCGATGTAAGGGGCTGGAATATTCTGTTTCTAATTCTGAATGAAAGAATTTCTCACACTTGTATACACTCATTCCTCTTTAAGTTCATTCTGGTCTTTCTGCACATGCTCGTTTCCTTGCCCTTCTGGCGTGATGACGTATATAGCGCATGCAACAAGATGGCAGCATGGTCTTCTATCTCCCTTCTTCGACCTTCTACCTCCCTTCTCCTCCTCAACAGACGAAGCATTAGCAGAACAAGGTTGTTGTCGTACTGCTGCTTCAAGAATATAAGCAAAACAAGCCCGAAAAAGGCACTAAGAACGGCAGCGTCAAGCATCTTGTTATCCGGAGCGAGGACTACAGTGTTTTCTTGCGTTAAACACGTAACATCCGCCCCGCCCCCTATCCAATCAGAAACCTTCCCTGCCCCAAATCTTGCGCAGACCTGAATAAAGGTCTCCGTGTAAACCCTCATTCGGAATGAATATTTCCCATGTAAACTACCTGGAAAGACTTTAATTCCGAATGATTTCATTCAGATTTATTTCATTCTGAATGAGAAGCCTTCATGTAACCGCACCCAGTGACTTAGCAAGAGAGATAAAACAGCTTGGAATGGGGTAACATGAGAAATAAGTGGATATAATAAGTGGAGATCCAAGTATCCTGAAGCCCCGACATAAGAAGTTGTTTGGAAAAACCTCATTTGAACTCTGTTTTTAGCCTCATTGTAGCCTGTAGCTCTGACTGCCTCTCTGGGCACTGCGCTCATGTGCGCGCTTGCTTGAGACCGTGAGACATGGGCACCGCTTTCATGAGTGTTCACGTGCTTTTGCTGGTCTCGCATGTGAGTGCGGAGCACAGAGAGGCAGTTAGAGCTACAGGCTACAATGAGGCTAAAAACAGAGCTCAAATAATGTTTTTCTAAACAACTTGTTATGTTGGGGCTTAAGGACACTTGGATCACTACGGACGAGCAGTATGGAGATATTTGGTGGTTTCAATTGACCTATGGCTAAGCCACGCCCCCTCCACTCACTCGGACAAACTATCAACATTCAGTGAGCGGCGCTATGGCAGGTGTCACAGTACACGGCATTTCACAGGAGGCAACTGATGATTTTTGGGGACATAACGATCAGATGTCATTGAGAAGTAACCAAAAGGGCCTAAACTACGCATTGGAGGGATATATTCATCATTTTATTGTTGAGAAGGTCGATGAAAAGCTTAAATTACAAGCCAAAATTTACAGGTCACAGTGTACGCTTGTGAACCGCATCTGGTTGCCGTCACCATCAAAGACAACAAGTTAAAGTGCCACTGAAGTTAAGGTTTTTGGCTCAGAATATGAGAAAAGGATAACGGCCTTTTTACCATCTTTACCAAGAGTGTCTCTCCGTTAGTTTGGTGCTACAGTATTTACACTGAATCATTCAGCATAACGTTTGCCAACCTTTGTTATCTCTGCCATTACAGATAAGTTAATGAAGCTAAGCTCCAGAAGTTAACGTTAGCTTAACTAGAGCCCTTTGGACAACAGCTAACAATGATGTACGATCACCAAAGTACAAAACTAGAACAAAATAGGCTAATGAACTCCCAGCAAACAAGGTGACATGATGAACAACGCAGCTAGGAGCTAACGTTAGGCTAACTTTAGCTAACGTTAGCTAGAGATGTTAAAGATAACTTTATATTTCTTTCCAGCAAAGTGACAATATGTTGCCTCAAACACAATGTTGACTTACCTTAGAACAGATGTAGACATCATTGTTAATCTTATTCACGTTGAGTTGATGTTGTGGTCTAACGTTACCACACAACTTTATCCAAAGGAGACACTTTTCTCGCTTGAGATGTGGTTTAAAGTGTAAAAAATACACCTGGTCGCCCAGCCTCTCAGGATACCTTGTGTCAGAGTTGCATGTACCCCATGCACACCGTTTGACCATTTTTAAACTTCAAATCTCAGAAAAGCTCATAAAACCGAACAAAACTTCTTCTTCTTATTCTTTTTGTTTTACGGCGGTTGGCATCCAGCAATAGGTGCATTACCACCCCCTTCTGCTTTAGCTCCATCAGTATACACCATTGTATAATCACTATACATTCCCATTACTTGACATTTAAAAGCACTTACCAAGTCTACTTGACCTTTTTCTTTTCTTTTAAGCTCTAACAAACACGAGTCTATATCAGGCAACACAAGCAACCATGGTGGTATCGCTGGATCCACTACTGTGGGGCTTATCCTCACTCCTAAGACTCCCAGTTCATTTGCCACATCATTCCCTACCCGCCCAAAATTTTCCCTCTGACTTTTCCCATTCTCCCAGCACTCCTGCAGGACTTCTTTAGTCCGGTGAGAATCACTGTGTCCCTGCAAATGTGCCCAGTAATTCACCATCAGCTGCTTCCTTCTCAGCCCCAGTGGCATCTCTCCCATCTCTACCTGTAGAGCAGGTACTGGTGTTGTTTAAAAAGCCCCACTGCACACTCTCAGTGCCTGTGCCTGAACCACATCCAGTTTCTTAAGATGAGACCTGGCAGCTGATCCATAGGCAATACTGCCATATTCAAACACCGATCTTATCAGAGCCACATATATTCTTTTTAGTGCTGAGCAACTAGCTCCCCATTCCCTACCTGTCAGACATCTCAATACATTTATCACTTTTTTACATTTTTCTTCTATTCTGCCAATATGACCTGCCCATGTTAACTGTGAGTCAAATACTACTCCCAAAAATTTAAATGTTCCAACTCTTTCTAAGTCATTCCCATACATCCTTAGTTTCATTCCTTCCTCTATTCTTTTCCTGCTGAAAAAAACTGTCTGGGTTTTCTCCACTGAGAACCGACACCCCCAGTCCCAACCCCACTCTACCACCTCATCAATAGCCCTTTGCACTTTGCCAGTTACATGCGCGATATTCCTTCCTCTTTTCCACAGGGCCCCATCATCCGCAAAGAGTGACCTACCTATATCTTCTGGCACTTTTGAGAACACATCATTTATCATAATAGTGAAGAGTAACGGACTAATCACACTACCTTGAGGAGTCCCGTTCTCAACTGCATATTGACTTGATAAATCTGATCCAACTCTTACCTGTATTTTCCTTCCAAACAGAAAATCCTTAATCCAATTAAAAACCTTCCCTCTTACACCCATCTTGCACAGCTTTATTAACAATCCCTCTTTCCACATCATGTCGTAGGCTTTTTCCATGTCAAAGAACACTGCAACTACTGACTTCCTTTTCTAAAACCACTTTGAAAACTTGCCAGCATTTCTGTCTTCTCAAGATCATACGATAACCTCTCTGTTATCATCCTTTCCATTATTTTGCACAGATTTGATGTTAGCGCTATTGGTCTATAGCTAGTGGGTTGTGAAGGATCCTTACCAGGCTTTCTTATAGGAATCACTACTGCCTCTTTCCATGCACTTGGTAACCTTCCCTCTTTCCATACTTTGTTATAAAGTTGCAGCAACTTTAATAATGCTCCTTCCCCTAAGTGTTTTAGCATCACATAACATATCATATCTTTTCCAGGAGATGTTGGTTTTGATTTATTTATGGCCCTCGTCAATTCTGCCAATGTAAATGGTTCATCAGTTGCTTCACCTGTTTCTTCCCTCCTGTCTAACACACCTGGATACTGAATCATTGTTCTCTCTCTTCTCCTCCTCCCCTCTTCTGACAGGATATCTGTACTATGTATCTTTGCAAATGTCTTTGCCATGATTTCTGCCTTATCTCTGTTGGAGACTGCTGTTTCCTCCCCAGACGTCATGACTGGATAATCCCATACCCTTCTGTCTCCCCCCCATCTTCTTAATCATTCCCCATACCTCTCCCACAGGTGTTGTTCTTCCTATTTTATCACAAAACTTTCTCCAACTTGCCCTCTTAGCCTGGCGTACTGTTCTTCTCACTACTGCCTGTGCCTTCTTATACTGGATTAAATGTTGCATGTTATGAGTTCTTTTAAGTTGTTTAAATGCTCTGTTTCTATTTCTAACAGCCTGACGACATTCCTCTGTCCACCATGGTACCAGCTTCCTATTCATCCTATTTTTACTCCTGGGAATAGCTCCCTCTGCTGCTCTAACAATTCCTGAAGTTACCTGATTATTTATTTCCTCGATATCTCCAGAAATGTCAATTCCATTCATTGTTTCCTCACTTAACTCCTGGAACGAATCCCATTTTGCCTTTGCAAAAACCCACTTTGAGATTTGTGCATTAGCATTTGCATCCACTCTCTCTCCTACCAAACATGACACTGGGTAGTGATCACTACCTACAGTTGAATCTGTCCAGACCTCCCAGTTACTAACTCCAGCAATGGAGCTAGACACTAAAGTAATGTCTAATGCTGACTCAGTACCTGCAGTTATGTTTACCCTGGTTCCTCTCCCATCATTCATACATACCAAATTCCTTTCATCCATCAATTCTTCAACTACTTTCCCATTTGAGTATGTTTGTGAGCCCCCCCACATTGTACTGTGGGCATTAAAATCTGCACACCATATTATCTTTTGTCTGTCTTGTCCTGGTATCCCCAGTAGTCGATCCAACTCCAACCTTTTACATGGGTTATAATAGTTAACTATAACCACCTTCTCCCCTGTCTCCCACACTTCCACCACAATGTATTCTTGATCATCCCCCTTTCCTAGTACCCTATATGGAATATCTTGCTTGATGAATGTAGCACACCCTCCACCTCCCCCCTGATTTCTGTCTCTCCTTATCACTGTATACCCATGTACCACAAAGTCTAAGTTTGATTTTAACTAGTTTTCTTGAACACATACTTTATCCGGTCTTACAGCCATTTCCTTTATGAATTGCTTGAATTCCTGGCCATTGGCCAGTAAACTCCTAGCATTCCATTGTAAAAGAATTACCATCAGTAATATCAACCCACCCATGATGCATCCTGGCTCGACTGATTAGTAAGGTTCTCCCTCACTTCTTCCCACGTCAGTCCCACTAATCCTAAGTGACTTACTGCTGCTTTGACAATGAGCTGAATTTTAACATTTTTTGATTTTATTTCGGCTGTACTGTTGACCGCTCCTGTGATGAATGTCACCAAGTCCCTTTTGTCCACATACATCCTGTCAGTTGTCCTTTGTTGTGACTCTTGAACTTCCACTGCTCTCTGCTCGTTTACATCTCTGTTCTGTGCTCTCGACACTCTCACAGCTTCTGCATAAGTGATTCTTCTTTCCACTCTTACTTTTTGGATATTCGTTTCCCTTCTCATAACTTCACACCCGCCATATGCTACACTATGAGCTCCTCCACAGCTACAGCATTTGGGCTGCACCCCTGTTCCGCATTTCCCATACTCATGGTCGCCCCCACACCTTGCACACCTCCTTTTCTCTTTACAGTTCATGGCAGTGTGTCCAAACCTTTGACAATTAAAGCATCTTAATGGTTTTGGCACATACACTCTCACTGGGAAACTCACAAACCCCAGGAGCACTCTCTTGGGCACATTCTCTCCTTCATACTCAATCATCACTGTCTCACTATCTTTTTTCACTCCCTCTTTTGTTGTTTTGAACCTTTGTGCTTCCTTCACCTTTCCACCTTTAAGACTCCTCTTAAGCTCCTCCATCCCCACACTCATAGGCACCCCCGTTATCACTCCTTTACATCCTCCACCATTTTGTGCTCCCACCCTCCCAGTGCTCACCACCTTGTTTTTCCCTATCTTTTTTAATTTTAGTGCTTTTTCAGTTTGTTCATCACTATTACACCTCACCAATACATTCCCATCATTCAGAACCTTTGCGTATTGTATTTCCCCTATCTTACAAGCCAGAGTCGTTGTTAGCAAGAATGGATTTACTTTCTTCATGTTTTCTTGTCCCTTTTCATTAAGCCTTATTATTACAATAAGCTTCTCTTGTCTAATCCTTTGCACTTGTTCACGCCCTCCTTCCTCACGCTCATAATAACTCTCATCGCCATCCCTTCTTGATCTCTTTTTCCCTTTTCCCTCGATTTGAATTTCGCGCATATTGTCGATCATTTCCTCGTTCGCTGCCAGCTGACGTCTCCGCCATTCTCCTTCCCCGCCTTCAGCCTTCCGCCCAGGAGATCCAAAACCCACCGAACAAACTGACTTTCTGTAATGCATTTCAATGGACGTCCAGGCAGAGAATGTCCCAGTGTATGGGAATGGCTATACACACTGTGATTGGCTCATCACGTTTGAGGGCGGGGCTTAGCCATAGGTCAGTTATGTGTTTTTGGACGTTTGAATCTGGGGCGCCGTCAGCCTCCATTAGGTGGAGTTGTGTTGCTACCTCCTCTCCCCTTGGATCTCTGCAAGTGATGTGAGGACTCTAAAACTTCAGCTGAGCCTCCCTCGGCATATGGGTGAGTAGATAATGGCTGAATTTACATTTTTGGGTGCACTATCCCTTTAAATATACAGAGAAGTATGAATACCTTGGTCTGTTCCTTCACAAACACCTGTCACTTTTTATATGGAGTGGAGCTCTCAGACTCTGATATCATTTTAAATCTTCTGAGTGTCTCCAAAGAAAATAAAAACTGGTAGATTAAATGTATTAAACCACACGATGGAAATTACTTCCAGAATATTTACAACTGATATTTTTAGACTTTACATTTTAATAGGTCAGAGGGTCAAAAAGTCAAAGCTCAAACAATTGTCACGTGATCACTTCGGCGCATGCCCAGAAGCTTCTGTAACGGAACTTTGGCTTTCATCATCTTTTCCTGTGTCTGACTGTTACGCTTGTTGGTGAACGGGACACTGCCGCCAAACTGACATGTTTTAACTTGCGGAGCGAACACAGCTCCGTTTATCTGTTAGCATGAAGCTAACGGGCTTTAGCTTCTTCTTCTGTTGTTCTGTGCAACTTTTCAGCAGCGTCATGCTCCCTGCGTCAGGTCAGTGTGTTCAAATGTTCTGTGAAACTGTGGGACAGCAGCAAACAAACTCCGTTAGGATGTGACGCAGGTTTTAGTCACACGGCGTGTGGGCAGATGGACACACCTGTTGAATGTTTCTCCCGTACTGACCACGAAAGAGGGGCGATTTTAAATAAATGATACAGTAACTGTAGATAATTTATATCCCGAATTAGTCCGAAGGTTGTATTATAGATGGTAAAAAAGAGATCTTTTTCTATCGTGAGCGCATTTTTTCAAGCGAGGACGCCAACATTAAAATGGCAGATTTGCTAATGGAGTTCGGTGAAGAGATTCTAAGTCACAGCTAAACCAACCACAGTTGAGTTTATGAGTCATTTCAGTACTTGTATGAGCTTTTGTGGAGTTTTATTTATAACTAAACATATTTTTATAATAATTGATATTATGAATAATAATAATAATTAACAGTTAATACATTTTTTCCTCTATGCTCTGAAAATTTTAATCTAAAAAAAGTTACCAAATGAAACAATAATGATAAAATAAATGTTAGTTACAGCTCTTTTTCTGTTTCATCATCTTCCTCTTCCTGTGTGATTGGTTGTTACCTCCAGGTAAGCCTGTACAGTCCGCCTCACCTGGCCGAGTATCTGCAGCTGCAGGCACAGATGTGATCCTGCCGTGTGGCCTCACCTCGTCTTACTCCTCCTCTGGGGTCAGGGCGGTGGAGTGGTCTTGGGTGGACGGTCCGTCACCAGTCACGGTTCATGTTGTCCGTGATGGTGAAGAGCTGGTGAGGGAGAAAGCAGCAAAGTACCACAGGAGGACGGCCATATTGGAAGACGGTTCCTTGAAGTTATTCGGTGTCCAACAGCGAGACAACGGCACCTACAGGTACGTCTTCTTCATGTTCACAACGGCACCTACAGGTACGTCTTCTTCATGTTCACAACGGCACCTACAGGTACGTCTTCTTCATGTTCACACTCAAAGAAGCTGTGAATGAATCTACAGCATGAATCAGTGAATTTTTGACAACACAACCCTGTCAGTCCTTGATGGGGACGCATCAGGACGCCGTAGCGTTCACTCTACAACAGATATGTGGTCAAATGGATTCTGGACCATCTCAGCAGGTGGTTTAAATGATCGGATCACGTTGTGTCTCAGTGGTCATTAAAGCTTTTATTGAGAGCTGTCCACTCGATCACCTGAGACACGTGTTAACATCAGGTGTAAACACGGTCTGTGTTGAGTTATTCTCCGAAGGTTGGTGCTGCCAGTAAAACATTTTGATATATTTTAGGATGAATGTTGTGCAGAGGATATTTATTTTAAATGAAGAAATCGTGTCTTTGTTCCCGGTCATGATCCTGATCCAGGTGTGGCCTTCTGAGAGGATCGACTGTGGAGGACGTGTTTGTCTCTCTGCTTGTGGGTAAGACAGCAGGACGTCCTCAGGATGTGTGACGGGAAGTTCTACGAATACAAAAGACTGTACTCTGATCACACATGTTGAATATGGTGTGTGTGTGTGTGTGTGTGTGTGTGCGCGCGCAGCTCAGGTGTCGGAGGTGTTCTTCTCTGTGAGGAGGTCTTCAGCCAATCAGCTGCTGGTTCAGTGTGAGTCAAGCGGCTGGAGTCCGGAGCCTCTGGTGTCTCTGTTGGACTCCAGCAGGAACGTCCTCACTGCAAGGGTCGAGTCCTCAGTCGGACCGGACCTCCTCTACTCTGTCAGGGGACTTGTTACCACGGCAACAGCTGCTAAAGGTCAGTCAACCACGGGTCAACATCCTGGTCTTGATATTTTCCTTTGTTTATTTATTTACAAAACAAAGAGACAAAAAAGACTGGGATAAACATGAACAGGGAATCTGTTTTCTATTGTAGCACAATAAAACATGAACTTATGATAGAATTAGATTTTAATGTCGTTCATTTAACAAACAAGACTTATTAAATCCTCTCAACCACTGTTGGTGGTCATAGGTCAAAGGTCAAGGTCACTGTGATCTCATCTGTTTCATATACCTCAAGAATACCTTGAGGTAAATTTGGCACCAAGGTTCACTTGGACACGACACTTAACTGATTACATTTTGGTGGTCGAAGGTCAAGGTCACTGTGACCTTGTCCCTTTCTTTCTCGTGGATGCAATATCTCAAGAACAAATTGAGGGAATTTTTTAAAAAAAAAAAATCTGTATGAATGTTCAGTTGGACTCAACTATGAACTGATTACATTTTGGTGGTCATAGGTCAAGGTCACTGTGACCTTGCATCTATCACATTCTCATGATTGCGATATCTCAAGAACAGCTTGAGGGATGTTATTCAAATTTGGGACAAAGGCTCATTTGGACATAACAATGAACTGATTAGTTTTTGGTGGTCAAAGGTTAAGGTCATTGTGACCTTGCATCTGTCTCATTCTCGTGAAAATGAATGTCTCAAGAACACCTTGTGGGAATTTCTTTAAAGTTGGCACAAACATTCACTTCAACTGAAGAATAAACTGAGTCATAGAACCACAGGGCCGCAATTCTAGTTTCAGTCTTCATTAGTTTCCGTTCACAGTGAGCTGAATGATGTGTGAGCACATCCTGTTGGTGTGAACTCATGGTCGCACAGACAGCTCTCACTACGTCACTGTGATACCGAAGAAAACTTGAAAATTGAAAATTCCCAGGCAGGTTTTGTTCTGACTGTTTGTTTTCTCTTGTTTCTGTCTCGTCCCTCTGTCACAGCGACAGGAACAGGAAATGGAACCTTGATCTGTAGAGTGGAAATCCCTGGAACGAGCCTGGCCAACGAAAACAAGATTCATATCACAGGTAAATATTCACATGTCTAAATCAACATGTTTTTCTCTGTACAGTTTTATAGTTAGTGGTTTTTGGGACCTTCATTATGATTGTAACTGTCTGTCTGTCTGTTTTTAATCAGTTAAATATAGAAATGTATAGATCCCAAAGTAAAACTATCAGTACATTATAGGGCTGTCAAAATTGCTCAAAAATGACGGTCGAATATTCCTTCTAAAAATAACTCATAGGTTTGAACCATTCAAATTTTTTTTTTTGCATTATGTCCACAAGAGGGCAAACTAATACAAGGAAACATAACATAACCTCTCTGACCCGTCAGGCCACACCGCCCACAGAAGTGCTACAAATAGCCTTGAAGCCCCGAGAAGCGAAGCCAGTTTCCTTTCGGCGCCCGTGTTAACCGATTGTGTCATCCACACTGGCTGCGCTGCGCCGCGCAGCTCCGTGGCCGCGAGTGAATATGTCAAGCCCTGTCAAGCCGGGTGACGGAGACAACAGCTGGGAGCAGAACCGCTGGTCGACCAGCGTGGAGGAATGCGTGTCTGATGTGAACGGAAGTGCTCCGGCTCGCGCGAGAATTTTGGTGCGCTGCGCTTTGCAGCACTTCCGCGGGCGGTGCGCCCACTTGCAAAGAGGACAGCTGCGGTGGTGTTTTTTTTTTCTTCACAATCGAATATCAATTTTCACATTTGAAGGTCTATTTTTTTTTTCAAATTTGAATTTAGAATATTCGTTGACAGCCCTAGTACATTATTAAAAATACTGCATTACAAGTAGAAGTCCTGCATTCAAGACTGTGTGGACTAAAATGATGATCTCTCTGGTTCTGCTGCGTCAATGGTTTTTGAAACTGTCATAGTAAATGTACTGAGATACAACTGCAGTCAGTGTCATGTTCTTCTCTGACTGTTGCGTAGATGAGTTCCATCCTCCAGAGGAAGAACCCGGATGTTACCTCATGCTGCTGGTCGCCTTCTTGCTGGTGTTTGTCGTCACCGCTGTCGTGGTCTTTGTCGTTCCTCTGGGGATGATCAAGAAGCTGCGATCTTCTGTGCAGCATCTGACCGGTCGGCTCTGCTGGGGTTTATAGAGTTAGCAGTTAGCATTTAGCCTGGTCCACAGTCTGACTTCCTGTCTGTGATTTTCAGAGTTCTACTACGGACTGATCAGACGGGAGACAGAGGGACAACAAGAGGGTGAGTTTGTTTTTAGGTCAGCAGCTCAGTTTATCTCATCCTGAACTTTAAATAGCAGCTGGACACAGAGGGTGCACAGGGTCGGGATTGTTCAGGAAAGTTTCTGAGTTAGTTAGATGATAACTTTTGTGTTTTTCAACCTGAACCCTGTTTGCAGATGTTTTTATGTGGAAGTGACTGATGGGAACAACAAGTTTTAAAATGTGTCCAGTGTTAACAGAGAGCGCTGCAGCGGTGAAACAACCTGCAGTGTAACCACTGCGAGCACTAACAGTGATTGTTTCTGTCACTGACAGGCTCAGATTGTTATTCTGTTAACCAGAACCAGCCCTGAGATCACTGTCACCAAACCCACCTCCATTTAAACAGTCATTTCATCATCGAAAACACACTTCATTCAAAGTCAACAGAAACAAAATAAAACCATTTTGGTTCATCTCTTCGCTGCTCCATCAATCACCAGCTCTGGTTTGGTTAAAATGTATTGAAATATTGTAACAGTACTTTATTTAACTTTATCGTAACGGTACTATATTGAAATGTATTAAGATTGTACTTAACTTTATTATAACAACACTTTTTTTTAAGGCCCAATCCCAATACCCCCTTGTCCACTACCCCTTAGCCCTTGCCCACTAGCCCTTAGCCCTTGCCCGCTACCCCTTAGCCCTTGCCCACTACCCCTTAGCCCTTGCCCACTACCCCTTAGCCCTTGCCCACAACCCCTTAGCCCTTGTCCGCTACCCCTTAGCCCTTGTCCACTACCCCTTAGCCCTTGTCCACTACCCCTTAGCCCTTGCCCACTACCCCTTAGCCCTTGTCCTCTACCCCTAGCCCTTGCCCACTACCCCTTAGCCCTTGTCCACTACCCCCTAGCCCTTGTCTGCTACCCCTAGCCCTTGCCCACTACCCCTTAGCCCTTGTCCACTACCCCTTAGCCCTTGTCCACTACTCCTTAGCCCTTGCCCACTACCCCTTAGCCCTTGTCCACTAGCCCTTGCCCACTACCCCTTAGCCCTTGTCCTCTACCCCCAGCCCTTGCCCACTACCCCTTAGCCCTTGTTCACTACCCCTAGCCCACTACCGCTTAGCCCTTGTCCACTACCCCTTATCCCTTGCCCACTACCCCTTAGCCCTTGCCCACTAGCACTTAGCCCTTGTCCACTACCCCTTAGCCCTTGTCCACTACCCCTAGCCTTTGCCCACTAGC